AAAGAAGACGACTAGCATGGATGTTAGCTCAGGGCTGATCTTCTTCACAAAAAAAAAAAAAAAAGTATTAAACTTCTTATTCACTGATTTTACAGTAGGACAGAAAATTGTAAATACTTTTCACTACCAAAAGCTTTCCTATTTCTACGGAATTTGTTCTTAAATATCATTAACTTAATAGGAAAGCTTTCACTTTAAGTGTCTTATTGTAATTAAAAAATATCTTACCAGAGGTAGCTTGTCAAATTCTAAAATAAAATTAAGAAAGTACTATGGAATCTTGCTTTTTTATGGTTTCCTAGTACTTGCCTCTTGTAATCTAAAAACAACAGGGATTTTCTTTTCTGTACAGGCAGCTATGAAGTTATCAGGTAGTAACTGTCCATCTGAAAGAAACTGGTCATCTTTTCCTTGATCAATTAGTACGTCCAGCTGAGAACCTGGATATGAGTTCACAAGATGGGTAGCATCATAAGCCTATAAAAAGAGGAGAAATATTGAAAAATAAATTTAAAAGTGTCCACTTCAGAATATACTATACTAGAATCAAATAGAAATTTAAAGTCATTTAAGCTCTAAGGCTGATTAAATTGGAAATATGCTTTTAAGTTGGCTTGACTGGTTTTTATTTATAAGGTCTTCAGAATTCTATTTCCCAAATATAGCCTCTTCCCTTCTTTCAAGCAGTCCTAGCTCAGTGGCAAGAATTCTTTATCTCAAATATTCTTCAGAGTATAGCCTTTTTTCTTCCAAATCTTTAAAGTTCTTAATCGCCTCTCAACTCCAAAAAAACCCGTAATTTTATGGTTTGTAAATCCCTCCACAAATTGACTATTTCTTTTAACTCCACTAACTTTTTCTATTTCCTAACATTCTCTATTTCAAATAAAAAGTTTATTTTTTTCTCTCTTCTTTTTGGCTCTAATTCCAGACATAAATACATTCAGTCCTCCCTTTTGTAGTCTTTTGAACAGCACCAAATGTCTGCTGTCTCCATGAGCTTTCAGGAAGACTTGACTTGAATAATCTGATTAACATTATCAATTCCTCAAATTTATTATCTGAGGAGCTGCCACTAATTATAATTTTACATTTTACACATCTATCTTTACATATTCTTGATTATTCATATATATTCACTAACCATAACTTTTATGCATCAATCAAGACAAACAAAAACCAAAAGATTTCTCCTTCTAAAGTATCATGCTTTTTAAGACTTGCTTTCTTTAATCTTAAAAAGAAAGAGTAGAAGGGGATCTTTAAAGTCCAACTAGTTCTAAGTTCTGATTTCATAATTCTGCATGGCTTCCTTATTCCAACAGTAAATTAAATAATAGCCTAAACACAGTATAAAATAACAAAATCTACTGCCACTTGGAGAAAAATTACATAATTAGATTCCTTTATAGGTTACCACACCTCTACCTCTCCTCTCCTCCCAATCAGTTGGTCTTCTACCCCACTCTTCTATTAGACCAGAAGTCCCCTGTGGATGGGAAAGGGTGATCACCTTCAGGACATAAAATCTCAGAACCCCACACAGACTACGCACATGGCGAGGACTCAAAACACTGACATACCTGCACTGTCAGTTCTCAAAGTACCCAACAGTAATCATTTTCAGCTGCTTCCAATATAATAAAAATCTAAGCCTAAACAAAACAAAACTCTAACCTAGGAACTAAAGGATTAACTCTCCAGTTTGTTAGAATTTCAATGACCAATCTTAAAAAAAAAAAAGGGGTCTGTGTGTAAATGACCTTAAACACACAACCATAAGACCAAAAAAGGTTTATTTTTCCACTCAAATATTTTCCACTTGTTAACATGCACATGACAATGAGTTCATCTGCAAAATACTTAAACTCTTGGTGGAGTTTGCAAATAGCCCATTTCTGCACAAGAGTAAAACGAATCTTAGGACAAAAAGGCCATTTTAATTTTCATTTTGAAGCATCTGCTCCTATGCTTGAAAAAGCAATCTTGCCATTGGGAATATTCAGATAAATGTACATTACACAATATCTATTCATAAAGACTTTTAAGTCTGGAATTTAAAATCCAAATCTGAGAGATGCTGGATTTTGAAACAGACACACAAATATTAAGAAGCCAGGCCTCGTGGTTCCTATCGTACAATGGAGCACATAGTTAATAAGAGGCAAGTCTAAATTTAGTAATAATATGTGGTATTTTTTGGTACCGTTAATTTAGAAATAAACATGTAAATTAATCATTAGCAGAAAAAAAAATGTAGCCTCAGAATATCTGCCATAATTCAACACAATTAGAAAATAAGGGTTTTTTTGCTACTGTTATATGTATACACTTTTTCTAATTATTTTCAGCTCTGGATCCTTAACTTGAGTGAGCTAGGGACATAATGTCTAGTGTATAGCTTTTTAACAAATTTGAAAACTTAAGAATGAGTATGAAGACAGTCATCCAGGACCTACCTTCCATTTATTTTGATCTGTTCCCAAATATCCACTAAAGGCTTTTTTGCCCCAAGGGCAGAGCACTGGGTTGCAAATTGGAGCAAATGCTGACACAGACTTCAGAAACAAAAGAAATTTAAAAACAAGTTATATTTTGCCAAATCAAATATGAACAGATATTTAGAACTTGCTTAAAAAATCACAAGTGTATTTGAACCTGTTTATAAACTCTGACTTGCCATGAAAACCCCTGTGAACAACTTTCCTTTTGTTATTTTACAGGCTTAGATTGTAAGCCTCTCAATGATACCACATTGTGTGTTCTCTTAAGACAGTTAACAAACTATAGGTGCTAAAATAAAATAAAGCAATACACTACATTTTCATTAAATAAGGCACAAATGGAAGTTTATGTTCAGAGTTTCTTTTTTTCACTTAAAATTAATGAACAGAAATATAAAATAGTTTATGCCTACCTTTGTTAACATGTTATTAAATCTAACCACCTTATTTCTCTTAGTGCCAAGAAAGTACCAAGAAAAGCCCTTAAATATGGCAGAATTTTTAATACAATTTTGCCTTGCAGGACATTTGGTCCTGCCCAAAATGTTCATGAGCATATCTGGTCCATGCCAAATGGTTCTGGACAGGACCAAATGTCTGTTAATCCAATTTTGTGTTCTGTGCAATGTTGTTTTTTACTGGATAAAGTGCAGAGATGGACTCTCTCAGTTTCAGAGTTATCAATGTGTATGTTTATCAATGTCTACTAGCTTATTTAAAGGACAAAAAATTCAACTAAATTTGATTTTCTCCCTTAAACACAATAAATTGACTGCCTTATGTATAAAAAACGGAAAATAAACCCTTATTTTAAAAACCCACTGTCATGCTGTGAATTAGTTTAACTTGATAATAAAGCTTACCAAAAGAAAAATATTTGGTGCCACAGCAAGAAACTGCTATGAGAAATATTTTCATTTCTCAGTGGCACACCTGAAATGATTAAGAAGTTCTTTCTAAGGGAAGGAAATGGATTAACCAAATCTTGAGGTTTCTGATAGCCCTGTGATTTTAAAGACAGAAGCAATCCTAAGATAATCACTGCTTCAACACTTCCTTTTTCAACACTATGGTATGCCGCTCTGCCCACTATGACATTCCACATAGGGTGGTTATTCCAACGTGGCGCATTTAAACAAATGTTAAGCTATAAAGTTTCGAATAAATGAATGGGGAGGCTGAGAGTGATATTTTTCAATCAAGCTGCATTCCAATTTTCCTCAGTGAAACAGAGGAAGAGAGAATTCTTAAACTTTTACAAATCATGATTATGTTCTTAAACATTAAGAACAGAGAATTCTTAAACTTTTACAAATCATGAATATCTTCTTGTACCTCAGAAAGTCGAAGTCAACTTTACAAAGATATTCCTATCCTAATAAAAAATAGAAGTATATGATATATACCACCACAATAACATTAATCAAAAATAACCTTTAGAAAAAAAAAAACTTGGAAAACTATAGTTTGAATAGAAGCAATAAAAATTGCTTTATAATACTTCTACTAGTAGATCAATTAGAAACACTGATAGAATTCCTATACTTCTGATTCTGCATTATATACATTGTGTGGTCAAATTTAATAATCTTCCCCCACAATGCCTTGAAATTCCCAACACTAGAAAAGTTTAGTCCCAATACTAAAACAACAACATCCTAATTTCAATCTTTGAAAGTTCCTAATATTATATTATCAAAGAGAAATATTTGTCACAAGAAGCTTAGGTAATCTTACTTTGTATTTTCCAGGATTCTTCAAAGTACAAATCAGAGCTCCATGGCCTCCCATGGAGTGGCCAAAAATAGACATCCTTTGGGGGTCCACTGGAAAATTGGCATTTATGAGTTGGGGAAGCTAGAGAAAATTTAATAGTGTGACAAAAGATATGAGAGAAGTAAGTTTAGACTTTTTCAAAGTCATATAAAATAACTACACAATTAATACTTCTAAATCACAGTCTTACAACAGTTTGAACTAGTAAAGATGAAAAAAACATCTCAGGTAGACAATGATTATTAATATATCACTGGAGAATATATGGTAAATCCTCCTTAGAAAGCAACTTTAAGATGATGATGCAGAAAGAATCTTTACACTGCTCTAAACTTTTGATCTAGTAAACTCACTTCTTGGAATCTATTCTAAGGGAAAAGTCCTTGGAATAGAAAAAAAATTATACACAAACATAATCAATGCAGTAAAATTTATTATGGTAAAAATTATATGTAAATACATAAATACCCTACATTAGGAAAAAGTAAATTATAGCATATGACAGAATATTATGTAATTATTAAAATTATGTTACACATAGATTAGAATATTAGACAATATTTACTTTATACAACTAAAAAAAGAACAAGATAGTTTTACAACTATATGAAAACTAGTCATACAAAAAAGTGACAGAATATAGTTCTTGTTTGAGGTGACAGAATTATGGGTGATTAAAATTTTATATTATTGTTTCTGAGTGTTATGTACATATTAATTAAAATCATAAAATTTAGAAAAATGCATAAACTGCGCATAAATATTAAGAGAAGCAATGCTTTACCACTTATTTATCCTTTCTGACTAAGCCTTGGTGAATCACTATAAAATATGCCTGAATGGGGGCAGGCCCAGTGGCATAGTGGTTCGCGTGCTCTGCTTCCACAGCCCAGGGTTCATGGGTTCAGATCCTGGGCGCGGAGCTGCACACTGGTTATCAAGCCATACTGTGGCAGGCATCCCACATATAAAGTAGAGGAAGATGGGCACTGATGTTAGCCCAGGGCCAATCTTCCTCAGCAAAAATAGGAAAATTGGCAACAGATGTTAGCTCAGGGCTAATCTCCTCACCAAAAAAAAAAAAAAATATGTCTGAATGAACCAGCTGTCAGAGAAATGAAAGTTTTTTCATACACTATTTTCTTTGCATAACCTGGCTAGTGTACACAGGTATCAATATAATTATTAAACTGTTTAAAACTGTACTTAATGTTAAGTTAAATTGCAGTAAATAAGACTGTAGTACTAGTAAACTTTGGAATTTTCACTAAGATAATTAACAAATATGTACCAAATAGATTCAACAACACCATGCCCTAGTTTAAAATTCTGGACTTTGTGTCCAAAATCAAACGTTTGGCAATCACCAATTAATAACCACAATATAAATTAAATTACCTCCTTTGTTACATAGGAGTACATTCTGTAGTTAGTTTTCCAAGGATCTTCAGTGGCATCCACGTAAAACCCAGCACCAGTACCAAAGTCCCAGCTCTCATCTTCTCCTTTAATATTGCAGCCACCTATCAAGGAAAAATCTTGTGGTTTCATCTACTCTGTAGTAATGGCCCACGTTTAATAACACGCACTTTTAAACGTACCTGAAAGTTCATTTGCATTAGGGCTATTCACCAAATATTGTGGGCTCTCTGCCTTTTGGGGGACATACTTCCTGTCCCTCTTGAATGGGGCCATGTGACTAGTTCTACTCAATGAGGTGAGAGAGGGAATGCCCTTCCAGGCTGTGGTTTTCACTGTCAAGGCAAGGCACACTGGCCTTCTTTGTTGAAGTTCCCTCCTATGTATTCTGGACATAAGCTCTCTCACTCTGTTTTACCTGTCAAGGGGCTTATATACTCTTTTTATCTTTTAGAAATGTGTTGAGATTCCTTCTCTGATGACTCTCCCCGATTACCAAGCTTCTTTAATTCTCTTTACCACTGTGGTCTTAGAAGGGAAGGGAGACAAACGCTTGTGCTCAATTCACTATTTTGAATTGGAACCGTCTTATGTACTCTCAAATCATTCCATCATATTTCCCCTATTCACTCATTCCCCAATGGGATTTTCTTATATTCTTTTTAAATTTATTAGGTTTGGGGCCAGCCAAAATAAAAAAAATTTATTAGGTTTTATTTATTTATTTTTATTTTTTTTTGTGAGGAAGATTAGCCCTGACCTAACATCCGATGCCAATCTTCCTCTTTTTGCTGAGGAAGATTGGCCCTGGCCTAACATCCATGCCCATCTTTCTCCATTTCATATGGGACACTGCCACAGCACGGCTTGAGAAGCAGTGTGCGCTGGTGCGCGCCTGGGACCCGAACCTGTGAACCCTGGGCCGTGGAAGTGGAGTGCAGGCACTTAACTGCTATGGCACTAGGCCGGCCCCTAGGTTTTATTTTATATAGCTGCATGTAGTTAAAAAGTCAACCATTAGGAGTTTTAATAGAATTACAGCAATAGGTAGAGTAATTTGAGGGAAATGACCTCTTCATAACATTCAGTCTACCCATCCAAGTACACGGCATTTTTCCATTTATTAAAGTCTTCATTTATGACCTTTAGCAAATTTCATGTTTTTTTAAAAAAAATAAATCTTCATATTTTTAAAGTTTATATTCCTAGGCATTTTATATTTTTGATGCTATTTTGAATTAAATCTTTTATTACATTTCTATTGAGACATGTCTCACTTTTGTATGATATGACCTGTGAAAGGACACGCACTACTTCCCACGGTCAGCCATTTAACTTCCAGTTACTTTTGCTGGCCATTTAAATACCATTTCCTGACACTTGTATGGTCACAAAACAAGTTTTAACTCTCCAATGGATTGAGTTCTCAAATGTATGATATTCTCATTCCCCTAATGTAAACATTCTAATTATAATTAATTATATTAAAACTAATACTTGTTTAACTATACAATTGTTGATTGTTTGATGATGAACAAAGATGTGAAAAGACGTAATTACCATACAATAAGACAGTTTACCTATGGAATAGAAAAATTTCTTAGGCATTGTATGTTATTTTGACACTCGTGCCAATATGATATATTAATTGAGTTGTTCAATCTGTTTTGAAGTGTCTTAATCTGTAAAATGGGAATAGCAAAACTGTCCCCTCTCATAAGAGAGATGTCATGAGTGAAATTCAGTGAGAAAAATGTATAGCATGGTATTTTAGAGTCGTGATGTCACTTGGAACATTAACAGAGATAATAGCAAAAATATGAAATGAACTGTAGAGTGTATCTATTATAACACTCATCATTTAGTCTTAAAGATTTCTATTTTTACAAAGGCTCTCTGGAACAAGAACACTTACGAGGGCTGGTATCTGGAGCAATGACGACAAGGCCATGTTCTGAGGCAGCCTGATGATAACCAGATTTTGATATAAAATTTTGCTCTGTGCAAGTTAAACCTGAAGATCAAAAATATTGTTATCTCATGCTATATAAGGTTTAATCTTTTTATAATACAGAAAAACAAGCTCACTTGGTATTAAATTTTTTTTTTAAGAAGTAACTCTGAAGACATTAAAGTTCCCTTTCTCATAAGATTTATAATAGTATTAATCTAAGAACCGTCTTACGTTAAATGTTTTTGTGATTTTCCAGATCGATGCCAGAGAAGATCCATGGACTCCAATTAAAATATTCTAGAGAAGACTATAAAAAGTTACTTGTCTGTAGTTTCTAAGTAGTGTATCGTGGGTGTTTTGGTTTTACCTAATATTATTCTATTTGAGTGGTAAAGTCTCTACAAACTCCAGAAATTCTTGAGTAGGTACAAACTAGGTAAATAACTTTTTGAAGTTCTTGCCATTGAGTCCAAACTTTACATTCTCTGCTAATTACTTGGTCTAATTTAAAAGAAGTGAAACAAATGTAATTCAGTAGGTCTGAAATTATTCTCAGGATAAAGTAAGAGTCGACTATGACAGGCTCCTAAAGTCTTTTATAAATGGCTCAGAAAGCATATCCATAAGATAAGAGTAAGATAAGCCAGTTAAAAAGAAAAAGAAATTCCTTGATAAAACTCAAATGTATAATGCTTACCAGACAGCCAGTACAGTGCAGGGCATTTTCCAGTTTCTGCCTTTGGTGGTAAATAGATCGCAAATTTCATTTTGCAGTTCAGCTCAACGCTGTAATTTTAACAGTCACAACAAAAAAATCAATGCCCCTCATTAGTCAAGACAGAAACATAAAATAAGCGATTCAATGTCCAAAATAAGGGATTCCACCAACACTTAAGAAATATACCTTGGCCCTTAAAGAAAGAATGGGGCCAATTTAGCATAGTGATCTATTAATCAACCTGAGTTTATGCTTTGCATGGCACATAGTCATTTTGGACAGAATAAATTAAAAGAATAAATGTAATATCCTCAGTGTAGCACTAATATTATTAAAAGAAAAATCGTTTCTGTTTCTAAAGAGATGTATGAACTAATAAATCGGCTTTTATAAAAAATGAATTCTAAAGATCTTAAATTCATGTTTGCTCATGGGTACCAAAATGTACACGTTCTTAACTCGTTGTTTATCATTAATATTTTATTACAATAACTAAAATCACAACTAGATAAGATAATTTTGATAAAACCACAGGTATTTTTCCATGTAAGCAGTAATTCATGCAACAATGATCTTTCATGGGCTTATTTAAAGACTCAAATAGATAGAAGCAGAACAAGATATATCTAAAACCGTATCTTCTTAGTAGTTACCTGTCATGTTCAAAAACTTTCTGCAATCCCCCAAAGCACTTGTTGCTGGAAATCTGTTTCAATGCCATTCTTCTCCTATTAGTGAAGATTAATCTCATTAATTTCTAGAGAATTAGTTCCTTAAAAACTTGAAACAAAACTGTTTTCAGATCAATTATCCAAACATACAACTGTTTTCCACCTAGAATATTTTTTCACATGCTAATTTTCTCTGATAAACAATATTAAGAAACTAACTTCTGTACACACACTTACACTTGTTACTCACTTTAGAAAACTGTAGTACTTTGGTATGTCATTACTAATTGATTAACAAGCTTTTTTTGTGTGTGGACTGCCCTAAATTCTTTTTAGAAAGAGGCAGAATAAAATAAGTTACTAACTGATTATTTTGGCTTAGAAGATTAAAAACTGTTAATAGCTTACCTGTAAGCTGTAACAAAGGAGTCAAGGAATTGATAGGACTGATTATGGTTGATTTTAAAAAGGGAGGAAAATGATGTAATAATAATGATTTTAATAATAACATAACATTTATTGAACATCTACAGTGTGATAGGCACCCTTCTACATGCTAAACCAGATCACATTACTCATTCTATGAGTTTTTCAGAGAAAGTGATGCACAACTTTTAGACCAACATTTCTTCTTTTAAAACAAACCAACAAGTAAAACACAGGCTGTTTTAAGTGAATTACAAGTGCAGATTGTCATTGGGAAATTCTCAAGTTTTATAATTCTCTTTCCTCAAACAAATCTTTTAAATTTCCATAAATAATTTTAAACTTACATGTTAAAATATCACACACTATTAGGTTTTAATAATAAATACAAAAAAATTGGAAAGCCATCTTTATCATAAACATCTGTTGATTCTGATTTGTATCTCTCAAGAAAGGATTCCCTTCCCCTTCTTATTAAAATCAGTAAGCTGTACACACCAAATAAAAAATCCTCAGATACCAGGAATAGGTATTACCACTCTGGCGGTCTTCTCCGTGAAATGTTCTACTGTATGCTCATCAGGTGCAGTGTTAGGGTTACTCTAAAAAGATATATAACAATCATCTTAAAAAGCTAATTTTGGAAATGTCTTTGAAAAATTCTAAATAAGATTAGTTTCAACCTTATGTTTAAGTAATCTCCTCAATAAATCCAAAACTTAGCTTTGCATTTGAAAGCTGGGACTTGAACCAGAAAGTCTGATATCAGAGACTCATCAGCAGACTCTGCTGCTATGCTCTCCTGCCTCCTAGCAGGTCTTTAAAACATTCTTTTTTTTTTTTTTTCCCCAGACACTCTTAAGATTAACTAATTTTATAGGATTAGGGTATTTCAAATACACATAGAGAAATTACCTTCTATTCACAGGTTTATGCTTATCTATAAAAGATCAATTCTTAAACAACAAATTTCTCACAAGATGTTATTAATTATTGAATATTAATTTCAGCTATTCTTGTTCATGATCCTTTCTTAAATAATGAACTAAATGAAATACCTGTATAATTTTAACATATATACACACAAGACCAAGGAATACAATTATTTACTGAATTATTCTACAAGAATATCCTATTTTCTTAAACCTAGCAGGGACTATGTCTGCTTTCCCAAAACATGGTACACTGAACATATATCCAGTACATAAGAGATACCCAATAATTATTTGTTGAATTAATGAATAATTTATTTTTTTAACTTCTGACTACCGATTACATGAAAGTTTTAAAAATTAGCTTGTCCTTTATCTCTATTGTTCTATACTTTGTTATTCAATTCATCTATATTAGTAAACGAGAACTAGTCAATTTCCTCTGCTCTTTGAATGTTCTTTAATTAAAATCAAATACTTTCCATTTGGTCAAAGAAAAACAAAGTTAAAATAATGTTTTTTTAAACTGGTAGGATGAACTAAAAAAAAAATCAAAGCTTTTTAAGTTTTTTTCTCCCCAACCACCCATTTTAGAAACTACTTTCAATTATAAATCAAGAAACAAGTTAGGCTCAATAAAAAATATGACATAAGCTAAGAACTAGATATACTATGATATATGACATGATATACTAGGTGATTACATTTTTCACTAAAATTTTTCTATGTGAAAAATAACATATTTTAAACCAGGTTATTAGATTTTTACATACAACTTTCAAACTAACACATAATAATGTACACATAAGTAATAATGTACACATAAGACACTGTCCAATTGCTACTTGCTTTTCAGTCTGCACCAAAGGGTAGACGATCCTGAAAAAAAAGACCAAATGCTTCATAAACAGGACATACTTTTTACCATAAAGGTTATATAGACATGTACAGTACACTACACACTCTCAACAGGGACATTTTCTTCTCTCGAGGTAGGTGATGGTCTCCGCTGGCTATGGCAGCTTGGAAAACGCAGCTGATCGAAGAGCACACCCCTTCATCTCAGTCCTTAATCTAATTTCCTGAATACCCATTTTGCCACAAGGCCTAGTTTTTGGTCAAAAACTTTTGCTAGAATAAGATTCCTATGAAGAAAGTCTTTCTTTTAAAAAATTTTTAAAAAGTTTTAAAGTGTAATTTGGAAGTAAGAGATGTAGTCAACTGCTGAGAGTGAAGAAAATCAGGAGTGGATACTAGAAAAGTAGAGAAATATAAAAAGCCTAGACATGCCTGACTAAGAATTGTAGATCAAACCTGGAATGCAGGGAGGAGAAAGGAGGGAAGCGATGAGGACTTAAGGACTACTGGGTTGACTGGCTAGAAAGGATGAACTGGTGAGAAAATTCAGTTTATGAATGACATTGAAGTGACTGATACACAGTAATAAATAAATAGAAACTTAACATACTACATACTAAGTGTCATCTGTCTGACCTTTCATTTAGGTTCTAGAACAGATATGGTGGGAGAAATGGACTGAAAGAGTAGAGTAGAATAACACTCCACCCGAAAAACCCAAAACAATTTCACTGTGTCAGTGCCAGTTTATTGACTAGAAAGTCAATAAAATGAACATCAATGTTCTTTAAAAAAGAAAGGTTCTCTTGGTGTACATGCCAAGCCAATCAGGTAAAAACCATTAAAGAGAAAGTTGTCTTTATTCACAAAGTATCCATTCCCCCCCAAGGTCAAAGTGTCGAATCTTACTTTTCTTCCCTTTACTTATTGAAGCTAAATGTCATCCACCTCCAGAAATCTCTGTTCTTTGTATTTTTACCCATTCTTTCCTTCTTCCAATGAGTCTGCAGTTTTCTATCTCTACCTCTGTTTTTGTTCCCATTCTCTCAGACTCCTTGGACTTGGATCTATTTCTTCATTTTCAGTGTCCCACTCCACTGGCTCTTAATGACCCACACAGGTCTCCTCAACATCACTGGATCACGGCACTGCTGACCACCACTTTTTCGTTTAAATCCTCCGCTCAGCGGAAACTCAGGATCTGAGTTCTTCTCTTCCACTCTTTCTCTTTCTCCTCCCATCTCCCTTTCCTTTTCTCTTCACATACACTCTTTCCTTAACTCCTAACTGTAAGTCTCAACTACATCTTCTGGGTAGAAGAATCAAAACCTGCGTCTCCAGATCGTTTTCAAGCATTTGTGCCAGAATTTACATTTCTTGCTGGATCCTTCTAATAAGATATGCTACCAGCTAATAAACCCAACACATCTAAAACTAAGTTTCTATCTCTCACCTTCAAACCATTTTTTTCTCTCCTTTTCTTTGCCTCTCTTTACATCCATGCTTATCTTACCCAATCTACGTTTGAAATGTCTTCAAGTGACCCCTTCTTTGAATTCCCACTGCCACCATCCTAATTATACACAAGAAATTAAAACTTAGCCTCCTACTTTGTTTCCTTCTTGTACGTCCCACTAAAATCAATCTTGCATGGAAGCCTAGGACTTTAGTCCTTTTAACTTACTGCTTGATGGATACCTATGTCACATCTTCAGACCTAAAATTGCCTACATGGAATTGTTAGTCATTTTAACTTATTATTTATAAAAATTGTCACTAAAAAACACATAACATAAAATTTAGTCTTAACCATTTTTAGGTGCATAGTTCAGTAGTGTCAAGTATATTCCGTCAATTTTAAAAACATTGTTAGCTTGCCCACATTAACTAGCAGATGAGAAATGCCTGACCACCTCCAAGCTGCTCCTACAGGTGTAGAGAGCTAATCCCACTCAGCTGTCAGGCTAGCAGCTGAACACCAATAAGTCACTGAAATGGAAGACGATGTAATTCATTATACTGTACAGTATAATTTTTTCAAGTTTGATGCCATTAAAACTTCATAAAACCGAAATTGTGAAGAACTGACAAGATAAATAAGGATGAATAAAACTCCACATACACTTCACTCACATTTTAACTGTGTATTAAGCATAGTCTCTTTTCCTTCATAAAAATTCACATGGCTGGCCCATATTAATTTTTAATCCACCTTCGGGAAAAAACATAGCACCCACGAACTCCAAACACCTTAACTTGGCTCTCAAAATTGTCTTCACTGGTCCCACACTATTTTTCTGGTCTTTCCATTATTTTAATGTAGTCAAACTCAATTACGTATAACTCTAGTATAGCCTGGATGTTTCTACGGGGTGGCTTTAGTCAACGCTATGGTACAACGGGTTTAGAGCAGGTTCTGGAGCCAGACCCTTCAGGTTCAAATTCTGGCTTCACCACATACTACATAACTTCGGGCAACCTATGTAATCTTTCTGTGCCTCATTTCCCCGACTGTAAAATGGGGATACAATACGATCAATGTGATAGGCTTGCTCCCGGCACTAAAGCAGTTAATTTACGCACTGCTGAGAACACTGCTGGCTATGACGTGCACACAAATGTCAGCTATTATTATTCCCGCAACCTCACACACCACCTCCCCGAGGACCCCAGCGGAAACGGTCTCCTGCCCCGGTCAGGGCGTTTCCGACGCGAGCAGACTCCGAGGAGCCGGCGAGCGCGCCAGGAGGTGCGCTTCCCCGGGCCCGCGTCCTGACGCAGGCGCCCGTGGAGCTGCCACCGCTCGGGCCTGTCCCGCCAGTAAACCGGGACACACCTCCTTCACGCGGTGGGGGTCAAGGGCGAGAAGACCCTATGTAAGATGGAAAGAACTAGATAAACGCAGCGGGCGCTGCATAAATGCGCAGCTTCTCCTCGGAGGCCGCGCGCCCGAGGTACACATTCGTGGAGGCTCAGTGTGGAAAAGGGGTGTGGGAAGCGCCTCCCCTCGGTGCCCCGGCCCTCGGCCTGCTGCCCCGGCTCCCTCATGTGCGGCGCCCCGGGGCCGCAGTCTCCGCGCTGGCGCCTGCGGGACTCGCCGCCGGCCTCACGTCCCCCTCGACCGGGCCCCGCCGTGTCGCCCGTGCGGCCCCAGACCCAGGGGACCGAGGACATCCGGGCATCCGCCCGGGCCAGTCTTACCTCCGGCGGCCGCGGCGGAACCAGAAGCAGTAAAAATGGAAAGGCGGGGCCTCAACATGGCCGCCCGTGCCGCCGCCTCGGCCCCGCGCCCGCTAGCGCCCGCCCACCCTCGACCCCGCTCTCCTTCGGGCCCGCCCACTCGCGGGGGCCTAACTCCGGAGTCCATTCTCCTCGGCCCGGCTCTTCCACGGTCCGGCTCCCGAAGGCTCCGCCCCCACAGTCCCGCCCCTCCCTCACCGCTCACTTCTCCGCAGCCCCCACGTGGGCGGCTCCCCCTCGGCCTCTGGCGCGGGCACACAGGTCAAGGGCCCGCCAGCCCCGCTGGCCCGCCCTCGCCCGGAGGCCGCAGGAAAAGGCCGAGGCTTGAATAAGCCTGAGGTCTGCCCTACTTAATTCGTGGAAAGGGTTTCCAAGTTGCTTTTTGAAGTTATGTAGAAACCATAATATCAAGTCTTCCCCGAAATCTTGCCAGTTCACCTACTTGGTAGCTGGAGTTAAACAAGGGTCATTTTAAAATCTCCAGTGCCAGGCACATAGTAAGAGCTCCACCAATGTTCTCTTTTCTCCCCTCTCTCGATATAAATTAGTTGAATTAATAGTTGCTGGTTGATGACTTACAGGAAATCTCTTGATTTTTTGCCCTCATTTAAATGAAGTGATTGTGAGCGTACTTTGCCTGTTGAGAAAACTGAACTTGATTACAAAAAACCTTAAAATTTTTTTTTAACCAACAGCTATACTGACAGATTGTAAAGGACATAATCTGAAAGGGCTAGTTTCGTGGACATGCAACCTGTGCAGAACAGGGTCCCCATCTCAGAGGAGGCTGCACTCGGTTTAATTCTCCCCTTGGTTTAATTATTTCCTGTGCCACATTGTTAATAATTTTTGAACAAGGGGCCGCATATTTTCATTTTGCACTGGGCCCTGCAAATTATGTGGCTGATCCTGCTGAAAGGACTGGTAGGTGAAATAACCTCTGTGGGAACTGATATTATAAATACAGATGCCAGAATCTGTCCGTGGCCCAGGCCCATTTTGCCATAATGACCTGTGGACTGAACTAACCTGTGGACTGAACCTGTGGACCTGTGGCTGGATTGGGACTCAGCCTGAAGATAATGTTTATCTAATCCAAATAATGTTTTTATTCTAAGAAAGCACTGAAGTGAAAAATTCTTTTTACTTTCTACTATTTTTAAGTATACATTACTGACAAGGGAGTTTTCTTCGAACTGGGTTTCACAACTAAAATAGAATACCCAAGGTTGCAAGTTATTTAGAACTGATAGGAAATATTTGAAGAAAGTTAAAGGGTGTTTATTTAATAAATTGCTTTGCTGCGGGGTGCGGACTAGCCTAAGAACTGTGAGCATGAGGTCTTTTACTAAAGGATTTTTGTGTTAATACAGTATGATAATAACCAGAACTAAAATTTCTTTTACTCAGCATAAATAAAATTATAATAAATCCAATGAATTTCTGTTTATTCTTTAAAACGTTTTATAGATATACATATATATGTATATGCATGGAAGTAACGTAAGCTGAAATCAGAAATTAAGGTTGACATTTCTAATAATGAAACTAGTAACAAAAATGGATAAAGAAATAGTCCAAAAACTTTCCATAAATGTGTGACTGAGGAGATATAGGGACTTTCAGTTTGAACTAAAATAAGTAGTATGTAATCTTAGGGAGGCAATAAAGACATGTAATGAAAGTGAGAAAAACTCACCTCTGCATAAGGCCTGTGGGAAAGGAGATGATTTTCTGAGAGCCTAGAAAAAGCACTATACATGAAGAATGATATAATCTATTGGACATCAGCACTGGGCTACTTGAGAAGTTTTCTTATGGCTTTTCCACAGACTTGATTAGGGTTTCTTACCCTTGGCACTATTGACATTTAGGGCGAGATAATTCTTTGTTGTGGGGAGCTATCCTGTGCATTGTAGGACGCTTAGCAGCATCCCTGCCCTCTACCTGCTAAATGCCAATAGCACTTCCTGCTCTCCCTCTACCCACAAGCTATGACTCCCAAAATGTCTCTAGACATTGCCAAATGTCCACTGGGGGTGTGGGGAATTGCCCCCATTTGAGAACCTCTGGCCTAGATAAACATTTTTCAAAACTCCCTTTATTCTGATTCTATTCTCATCTAATGACATTTCAGAAAATAATAGCTTCCATTGTTATTTAATAAATCAGAACTTAGGTAAATAATGCATTACTCTCTGTAGAATCTAATTGGGGTGATTCATTCTCTAAGAGACTGGTCACCTCTGAATGTGATAGTCACCTTATAAAATTGAGTTTCTGAATGTGTACCTCTGAGGACCAGATTTTGGACTGCAGAGACTCAACCTGGTACTGCAAACTTGTAGCCCTCTGCCAGTGTCCCATCTTGGCTTTGTTATCTTAATTCTAACTGCAGAGTGCAGTAGAATGAGTACACACGAACCTTAGCAAAGATTCTCTGTCTCACACTCACTTCACAGATTCATTTCCATTTTATTTCCCAATGTTGTTTTTTTAACTTCCTTAAACCCTAAGTCCCATATTTCTTTTCTATCATACATTTATAATATCTGTTGCTCCTTATTTGTCTCAAAAAGACCAAGTGACATACAGATGGCCAACAGGTATGTGAAAAAGGTGCTCAACATCACTAATCATCAAGGAAACGCAAATCAAAACCATAATGAGGTACCACCTCACACCTGTTAGAATAGCAATTCTCAAAATAAGAAGTGTTGGTGAGGATGTGGAGAAAAGGGAACCCTTATATACTGATGGTGGGAGTGTAAATTGGTATAACCAATATAGAAAACAGTATGGAAGTTCCTCAAAAAATTAAAAATAGAACTACCATGTGATCTAGCAATTCCACTCAGGTATTTATCTGAAAAAAACAGAAACATTAACTTGAAAAGATATATGCACCCCATATTCATTGCAGCATTATTTATAATAGCCAAGATATGGAGACAACCCAAGTGTTCATTGATAAATGAAAAGATAAAGAAAATATAGTGTATATTTATATGTAATGCAATATTATTGAGCCGTAAAAAAGAAGGAAATCTTGCCATTTGCAACAACATGGATGGACCTTGAGCGCATTATGCTAAGTGAAATAAATCAGACAGAGAAGGACAAATACCATATAATCTCACTTATGTATAGATGCTAAAAAACAAAATAAAACAAAACAAAAAACTCCCCCATCTCATAGAGAACAGGTTGGTGGTTGCCTGGGGGAGATGGGGGGCGGCTGGTCAAAGTGGGTGAGGATGATCAAAAGATACAAACTTCCAGTTACAAAATAAGTCCTGGGGGAGTGGTTCAAGATGGCAAGGTAGGAAGATCCTGAACTCACCTCCTGCCATGGACACACTGAGCTTATAGTGCGGATTCAGTGTATGGAACAATGAACGGAACAAATATGGAACAATTTCTTCTAAAAGAGACCTGAAAACTAGCTGAGCTGCTGCTTCACATCTGCAAACAAGGAAAAGGCCACATTGGAGCAGGTAGGAGAGGCTGAGATGCAGACTCGCCATAAACCCCACCCCTAGCACAGCGACCCACAATCAGGAGGGAACTCACAAACCCAGAGCTTCTCCATGAGGAGCGAAGGGATTGTATCCCACATCAGGCACCCCAACTTCTAAGACCTGCACCTGAGAGGTGAGTTCCCCAAACAGCTGGCTTTGAAAACCAACAGCTGGCATCCACAGGACCCAAAGGGCTGTAGGAACTGAGAAATGGCTCTTAAAGGTTTCACTTGCCCCACGGCTCAGCAGGAGAAGCACTCCTTTGAAAAGCGCCCAGACTTTATGTGAAAGATTCTTTTGCTAATCTTAAAGCAGCAGCCAGAGGGGCAGGGACCTGTTGGGCTACTCTCCAGGAGAGAGGCCTGGTGGGCGCCATTTTCACCCTCTATCATTGCCTTGCTGAAGCTGGAGGGCGCCATTTTTTTTAACTCCAGAACTTTTTTATTTTTTCCCTTGGCAGGCGCCATCTTCACACTCTCCCTCTGCCGTGCTCCACAGCACCAGTAACTCCCAGAGGGGAGCTTTTATACACACCCAGTGCCCCTGTTTTTGTGGCTGCAGCCCAGGGGATGCTTTGTGATTACCTGGCTCTGGAAGCTAGATGGCCAGACTCTCGCCCAGAGGGCACTGCACAGATAGAGACTGAAGCACACCCAGCTTTGGCCTGAGGGGCTGGCTAGATTTCTTTTCCCGTCTCTTTCTAGAGATCTCAACATCCCCAGTTTAGTACCACCTTTACTTTGCCTTTCACTTGTTTCAAAGCTTCATAAACTAAACTTTACTTATTTCCATTTGCATGATTTCAGTTAGAGTCATCATAACTTTTAATAAAATTTAATTATATTATGTATAATATTAATTATATTGATAATAAAAATATATGTGAAAAGTAGAACACTTAGGAAATACAGAAGAGTGCAAAAAGAAAATTAAATCACCAATAATCCTACTATTTGAGAGAGAATTTAATTTAATTAGAGGTTTGAAAACACTTGCTTGGAAAACTTTTTGTGCCCAACAATTTTTTTGAAGAAGTGGTGAAACCTTTTCACTTTCTAAAATGATTATTTAGATTTTTAAATTCCTTTTTGGTAAATTTTGATAATTTATGTTTTCCAGAAAGGGAATCTATTTTATCCAGATTTTATATTTTTTTGTAGCATTTTCTTTAAAATATAA